CCAAAGTCCAGCATCGGCTCTCCTGCTAGCTGTTTTCTCCACAGTGCCATTCTTAGCCCCAATGCTTCTGCTCCTCTCCAGCTCTGTACCTGACTCGTATTAGGTGCAGTAATTTTACATTTAATTATGCACATACATGTGCTTATCTGTGCTTCAGGAATGAGGGCAAAGAGAACAATGCATTGAGCTCCGAAGTCCATATGCTGGAGATAGTTTCTATTTCCCTATTAGACCTTTTCCCTCTGTGGAAGCCAAATTCAAACCGAGGCTCTTTAGTTTTGATTTCAGGAGACAAAACTTTGCCTTTAACTGGCTTGGTGTTGCTTACAAGTCACTTCTGGACACTCCTTGAAGCATCTGATCAGGAATCAGCTGAAGGACAGGAAGCCGGTGAGTTACCCAAGCCCTTGGGTAACTTGACAGGGAACTTTGCCTTGACAGGCAAAAATGAGCAGGCCAGCTTAGCTAAGGAACAGCTACTCACAGGCTTTATCTGATCCTACAGTGTTGGTGAGAGGCTGGCCACTTTGCACTGGCATGACATTTGGTCAGCTTTTCTTGATGTCACACTGGTGACAGGAGGACTGTGAAGCTGGTGCATTGGCAGTGATGGATCTAACCTCTGAGTCCAGGGACTCTGACAGGGAATTCTGCTCTCTGGTATGAAAACCGTATGCATTTTTCTTGCTGAAGAGTTAGATAACAAATAACTTCACAACACTTTTCCATTGCTATGTTTATTTTATTTATATTTGTATTCCATTGCTTCATCCATTATGATTGGTTTGTAATGTAAACTTTCTTTTTCTTTTAATGACTACAACAGTTAATGTCGGTCTCTCTTCCCATTCAGTTGAAAAAAATCAATTAATAACAAATAGAACTAAAAAAGTCTGAGACAAATGTGACATCATCAAAAAAAAATTAACACACCCAACAAAGCTGATGCATGGAGGACGAAAAGGAATTAACCACTTGTTTTTTAGAAAGATGCATTCCCCTTAAATACTACCAAAATTTAAAAAAATGTATCTTATAGGAAAGACTAGTTAGTGCACACGTGCATATGCTGATGCTTCCACATCCATATCCCCAAACACAGACACCCACACACATATATATATATGTATATATACGTGCACATGCACATACACAGACAAGCATGTATTAGACCAGAAAAGTAATTAATTTTTTTCCCAGGAAAAAATTATTACAACTTTTAATTATATTAATTACATCTGTCTTTAAAATGGGAAAACTTATTAAAACACAGAACAGAAACTACTTTAAGAACTCTAACGTATTTAGCTAAACCTTGGAAATCACTAACTATTTAGCATAAAATACATTAAAAAAATCAACTTTGATAATTTTTTATTTAAATGTACATCATCACCAGGTTCTTAGTGCTGTTTTGGATTGCTTTGCCACTGGAATAGTCTCCATAATTATTAAAAATTTCTTCCAATATATAGGAAAAATGTCTGAATACTGACCACATGTCTATACTGGGTGCCCCAGTGTTATCCCCTTTCTAAAGCCCATAGAGCATGCTTTACTATAGCAATCATATTCCCGTTTTACAAGCAGTGACTCCTGTTTTGCTGCTCTTGCAGGTACCTCCTGCTCTCTTGCTTTTGTTCTTCTGAAAAGAAGTACAGACAGCCCTTGATGGTCTCTCTTAAGAGGGCATAGGTGAGAGGTGGCCCTTCTGGAGGCACAGAGATAGGTGAGAAAGCTACTTTTTGTAACAGAACTGTCCTTGGGGAAGCAAAATGAACACTGAAAGGCTGAAGGCTGGCTCTGAGACCTCCCACCCAGAAAATAAGAACACAACAGAGAAGGTAAAAAGTGACAGGAAAGAATACCTTTTTGTGAGAGGGCTCCAAAATATGTAATTTATTTAACCCAAAGGTGCTAAAAGATCCTTTTAGTCTGTTGTTAATAGAGACTTTACAAAAGTGGTTTCCCAACTACAAAGAGTATCATTCTCTGTATCCTCTCCACAGACAAGGAATTTGTGATCACTGAGGATAATGTTCACCCATTAAGTTTCTGCACATCTTGAGTTGTCTGTAGGTCCCTGTGGAATTTCACATTATCTGTTTTCCTCCTCTTTCCCTCCCTTGCTCTTAATGAATCCATTCTTCAGGGGAATCAAATAACTTGCCCGATGTAAGTTTTGCTGCTTAGAGCCTGAGGTCTTGGAGAAAACTAGCAGGTTTCGTAAGTCCCCAGCTTCTCTCAAATCTGATAGAAATCATCAGTTTCGCTGCTGTGGATTAATAAGAAAAAACCCCACCCTTCAAAAGACCCTGGGACTCCATTTTCATAAAACCTAAGGGAGATTATGTTCAGATTTGTTTCATATTACAGTTGTCACTAATTCCATGTTCACACAAAACAGAAGTTCACTACAAAATGATTCCTCTATAAAGGCACTCTATAAAGTGCCTTGAAGCTTAACACAACAGCATCCTTAAAGGTAAGCATCAGGAAAAAAAAATAGGTAAGAAAAACAAAACCATGCTGAGGAACTAGAAAAGTGATTAAAAAACCACAACAAAACAAAAAATCCAAACAATAACCTCCTCTCTCCCTCTCCTCCCCTCACCTTTCCCAATCCCAGAACAATATGGAATGCTGGCATTATTTGGAACATACATAATAATATGATCAGGTAGAAAAAGCATTAACAAGCAAAACATGATTCTTTTAGTGGCCCTGAGCAAATTATGGATGAAGCTGGAATCCTTGATCACAAGATTCAAGAGGAAGCTGCCTTTCTTTCTCTATGGGAAGGGGTAAAACAGTACTTTTACGAAGTGATGCCACATTCCAAACATTCGTAATTGCTTATCAGCTACCATGGAGTGGAACAGGAGGAATGGCCCAGGACATGAGATGGCCAGGTGGTGGCTGAATAGCTGTGCTGCAGAAGAAAGAGTACCTGTTGGGATATACTCCGGAGAAGGCCACACTTTGTCATGTGGAGGAAGGAAACTCCATGTACTTCCTAGCAGAATAAGCAACTAAAACAAGTACACTTTTCTCTCCTTTGCAGCTGGTTCATCTCCTGTGTAATAACAGGCTTTTACCATTGCAGTGATTTTGGCCAGGTCAAACACAAATCCTCTAGGGTTCAGCTCTGTACTTCACTTTTTTGCCTCATACGGTGTGCCATACCAGAAAATGAAACGTAAGGGTTTGTGGGAAAAACACAGTTTAAAGGAAAATGAAAACACTCCAACTGATAAGTTTTGCATTCACAAAATTTATACATTCACAAAAAGATTACTGAGAAAAAATTCTGCCTAATCTTCAGACTGAGATGCAGTGAATAGTCTCAAAACAGCATATGGTAAGTAGTGTAATAAAATGAAGACTAAATTATGCATACAAAAACCCAAGTTTTTCAATTTGTGTCGTGACTTTGATCTTTATGCACTAAATTCCACACCTTTGCATCTTTATGTTAATCTTTCAAATACAGTGCTGCCCAGACTGAGAATACCACATGGCAACTGTCCATGGTAGCCATGGAATTCAAGTGCACTGCATCAGCTAGAGCTCCATCTCAAGAAGTGCCACAGCCCAGGCACTTTTCTTGAAGAGTTCAAGAAACCCTTTATATGCAATTGAAATTATAATTCCAGGCAGTCACCAGCTCCATGAACCAACCCAAAGAAGTTATGTTTTTCATCTTTAAAATGAGGCAAGATCAGGAGTAGCTGTGGCAATGAATTCCAGAAGCTAGTTATATCCTGCAGAAGTGCCAGCAGAACAAAAATCTGTGTGTGCGTTCCAATCCCCAAGGAATTAATCTGATTGCAAAGACTACCAAAGGAGGTAGGAACACTTAGATGCATCCCCTTGAAAGCAAAGGATAATGCTGCTTATGTAGTTCTAGAGATACAGAAAAGTTCCCATTGTAGATACACCAAATGTTCACAGAAAAAAGCACTTTTTCCAAGCAAGAATGTGATCACTGACATTTTACAAGCCCTGATTTAAGCAAGCAGGCAAGTAAATCAGAATGTGCTACAACATTGATGTAGAAAATATTTGCTATTATTCTTTAGTGCCTACTACCCCTCTATTTTGAATGTTCAAATCATTGGATACTCCATGAAATTTTCTTCTGTTTCTGTCTCAGAAGATGTAAACATATCTAAACTTATTAGAGGAGAAGGCAGCAACAGGGTTCAGCACTTACTCAGGAAAAGGAAACTTTTCACAATAACACAAGTGTGCAAAATTCATTACAAGGCACAGAATACATAGATGTGTTGCACTTGATTTCCATTTATCCAGGAGTATTTCTCTTGTGATACCTCTGTTAAGTATCACTCTAATTTTTTTTTTTTTTTTTTCCAGAAGAAAGTCTCCTCAGGGTGTATTTGGCTTAAAAGACTTGATTTGCTGCACAGAATCCTTCCAGGCTGTCCATACATGTGTTGACTTGGATCAAGTTCTGGAAAAAAGTATTGTGTTAGCCTGGTGTATAAAGCAAGTCACATTGCTGGGCACTGCAACAGAGACCTTCAATTAGTCCCTCCTGCTTTAACTTTTTTACTACCCATCTTTACTGTATCTTCCTGCAAGCTACTCAAATTAAATTTATTTTTCTCTAAAAAGATTATATTTAAGGGTGATTGAGAAGGATCCTTTTCCTAAGGGGGTAGAAAGATATGAAATTACATGACAGATTGGTGTACTTCCTAGGGTACTTCAGGAAAATGATGACTGTAGCTGGTTTTTTTTTTTTATGTAATATGGAGATACTGAGATCATTTGCTGTCAGTCACAGCATACATTCAAGGAAAATACCTCAGCACTGCAGAGCCTTATCTGGATCCCTGTTCATGTAGTTGAGATCAGAAACCCTCCTACTGTCATTAAATTATGAGTCACAATGAAGCATAAACTGCCTGTTCAGCTGAAAGACATGGCTGTCTTCCCAGGAACACAAGGCTTGCTGGCATTTGGGAATGGGGGCCAAGCCTTGGGTGGTCTGGAGCAGGATAGGGGGCATTAAAGGCTAAGTCTTCTTTGATTCTAGAACCTCTTAATAGTCTGTTGCAGTTAGGAAAGAAAACACATACCAAGAAACAAAAGAAAAATAAAGCAAGATTGCAGATTTAATTTCAAAACAACTAGTCTGGAGGTCAGCCCAGGGACTTGTATTTCAGTAAAGCTTTGGCAGCAGGGGCACTGTCTGCTGTTGTTTGTGGCTGAATAGGTTCTTATTTCTGATAAAGGAGCTTGAACTGACATGATTCTTCTTTTTCTCAATAATCCATGTTGCTCAGATGAGGTTCCTAGCAGCATATTTAGGGTTAACAACTTTGACTTGAGAGAAGCATTTGTGACAGTAACTTTCCAGCTTTCAGGGAATTACAAGCAGGTTCAGTCCACAAGGGCTGTCATGTTCTTGGAACTCTGCAGTAGGAAGAAAATAGAACTTTGCTTTTCTTCAGCAGGTAGTTTTTAGTGACACATCCTGGTTGTCATCTCTTTCTGTAAAACAAGAAGGGGAAATAAAAAAACAAGTGGCATTTGTGATAAAGTGTACACAGTCCCCTTCACTGTTAATATTTCTGCAACTCTGCAAATTCATGTGGTTTTATATGGCACCATGTTTCTGCCCCTCTCTGTCACTTGCAAGGACAATCAACATAACTGGCAAATAAAATATAGCATTTTGTCACTTTTGACAGCTTTAATAACCTAATAAATCCCTAGACAGGTCAGGTAAATGGTGCTACCTGCCCAAAGAAATAAATCAACTGCAAATGCCAGAAACCTTTTAATTTAATGTAAGAAAAAGAATTCAAACCATTCTCGTTGAACCTGCAGCCAACAGGAGTCCTAGATATACCTTCTCTGCCTAGTTATTTCTGCCTGCCCACAGGTACAAAGGGCATAGGAATACAAACCTTGAGGACTTGACCAGAGCTGTGGCATTCATCTCTATGATGGGGTTTTGGACCACTCACAGACTTCATTAGGAACTGGGGTTTGGGATCCACATAGGATTTTATTTGATCCAATTTACAAGCACTTTGATACAAACTGTCTGGTAACATAAAACCTCATATTTGTCAGCAGATTTTCTGGAAGGCATTATCTGAACAACAGCCATCCACATATACCAGACCACACAGCATTTACCTTGGAAAATCAATTGAGGTTTACCAAGTTATCAGAAGTCTCTGAAAAATCTCTTAGCTTGCTTGATTAATTTGTTAGAATTTATAAGGTTAATAAGATCTAATGCAAACAGCTTCATGACAATTTTGTAACTGTATCTTACTCTGTGTTTAACAGATTACTTTTCCACCTAGAATCCTATGCATAATCGTGAGACTTCTCCCTTTCCAAACCTTTGACTAGTTTTTCTTTCTTGTATACTTATCTTGCGTTACTTGTTATTTTGTTGCTATGCATGTAACAGAAGGGAATGTTGTCATTTGTTATAAAGACAATGGTAATTAGTACATGAATTTATACAGTTATATGTGATCTTCACAGTGATTTATATAGTAAGCTGAACTAGTAGTGGCCTCTCCTCCAATTTGTTAAATTCGACAAAGCTGACTGTTCATGGAAAAATCTGTCTCCTTTTCTCCTTAAATGTTTTGTAGAGGTTTTTTTTGGGTTGTTTCGTTTTTTTCTTAAAAAGCTGTGATTAGGTTTATTTCATTGGAGCAACAAATACCAAATGCAGAACTAAATAATATTCAGCACAGTGTTGGACAGCTTCCTACTGAGGATTAATTAGGTGTTAATGTATTTCAAGGCAGTTTTTATCTTTGCTGGCCCCTAATTTTACACATACTCAGTATCTGCATGTTCCTAGTGTACTTCCTACAGTCAAGGCTAACAGATCTGTGAGATAAAACACTGCAAATTCCTTCTGCAACTGCTGCTGAACAGTGATTTCAGTCAGACTGTATCATCTTGCCCTGTTATAAAAGCAGTCCAGGGAGTAGCAGTCCAGTGGAGCATACCAGAGCCATTGTAAATTGGGCCACCCTCCTTCAGACACAGTGGGAGGCAAACTGCAGTAGCATGAGAGGTAGGAGTCTAGATATGGATAAATGTGTTCAGGAAAAGGGCAGAGTCAGAGCTTACATGATCTGTGCATAAGATGTAAACCAGAGGTTTTTAAACCAGTTTGCCAGGACAGCCATGGAGCATGAATCTATCACGCCATTTCTAACTTCTCTCTAGTGGCAGAATTTATTTTTTATAGTAATATAAATTCATCCCAAGCCTCTTTCTCCCTTAATTTCTGAATTTTTTTGGTTATACAGTTATATCTGCAGTCTTCTCCGTAGATCCTGTTTCCTCACCATGTTAGGAGACCATTGCTGCAAATGGCTCTGTAACTTTCTCTATGCAAGGCCTTCTGTCCCAACAGCTGCTTGGCTACAGTTTTGGAAATCTCACCAGAGTTGTAAAGTCAGAAAAATGTTTAACCTTAAAAAGCATTGACATCTCTGATGCATAGAAACATTCTCTGTATTGATCCATATTGTTGTTGGTAAATGAAGGACACACAAGTACAGTCACATTGCATTCCTGCATATATGTACTTGAGCTTTTACTGATTTTACCCAATGAGAGTGAATTAGATGTGTTTTTAAAAAAGCCCATGATTCCAATGATAGTGAATTGGTGCAAGCTTTGTGGGAGTGACCCATTTCTACTTGTTATTTTCTTAGAGGAATTCACAAAACAACCAGGAAATGTGCTCTCAAAGAGACTGATATAATTTGGATGCTGGCAAAGAAAAAGTTAGCTTCTCTCAGAATGCTGGTGAGGAGGAGAGGAAGGGTCAAACCCACGGTGTCCAATCTTGGCTGGGTGGCAGCATGAGGCATGCTGTGTGCTGCAGAGCCTGCTGCTGAGCCTGTTGCCAAACAAGCTGCTCCTAGTTGCCAGACTCTGCAAGACCCCTCTGAGATACTTACCTTTAAAAATTAACCACACGCTCTTCACAGAGCCTGCTGGCACATATCTCACTGATTCTGATGGGCACCAGAGAATTTAGCACACAGTCCCCCCTCCACCTAAGTCTTCAGAACAGTCCCCCTCAAACCTCACCAAAGATCAGATCCTGAGTTATTCTGCGGCTGCATAGCCTTAGGTGAGCACTGTCTTTAACAAAAATCTGAATGTTCTTCAGTGTCTCCTGCGTCTTGGGTTTGTGCTTCTCTGAAACATCACTGTTCATTTTAAATTGGGAAGGCTGTAAAAGTATGTTCTTGACTAACAATTATCAATTAAGAGTACATAAGAATATTTCCCAAACACAGCAAATGATAATTAGCCATCAACTGAGTCTTCTGAGGAAGCAGGAAGACTGGAAATGCGCTTTGCCTTAAGGTACTGTGATAGCCAGTCCCATATTATATATATATTATGGATATTGAATGAAATATAAAAGCTACACAGACAAGGGAATCAGAAAATCAAACACAGAGACACAGATAGACACACATGAGCACTTGAAAACATATTGAAAATTTCAAAGTCCTTCTGTGTTCATTAACAGAATCTCTCCATATCAGAGCTTTCGATAGCAGATGCACTTCCTCATGAAAATTATTTGCAAGACACTTCAGAATATTGTTCTGCATTGCTACATTCAGACTTGTTCCTGCTCTCTATTCTGGATTGCACTAACTCAAAAAAATGAAGGCAGAAGTAGACGCTATTTTTCAAATCCAAAATCCACAGTGGAAGTCTGGACCCATTCTATGTGTTGAATATGCCCAAAACCAGTAACTATGGAGAATATAACACGGAACTTACTTCTAAGGAACATAAAGAGAAGCATTTGCTATTCTTTATCAAATCCTTGAAGTATTTACTTACTCACTGGAATTAATCCTAATAATCCACTCTGTAACCTGTTTTGTTAGTATTTGTGATTTCATGGAAGGACACATTTCTAAATATTTTTCAGGGAGTACCAACTTGATTTCACAGATGAAGGGAAAAAAGAAATATTTAAAAAGGTAACCAATATTTATATCTGAAGAATGTCTAGTCCTCTTTCCTCCATAATGCTCCAAAATAAATTTCAGAATCATTCAGCACATAAATCTACACCTAACTATTTTAATTTTTAGTCCTCAGTTCACCTTTAAATGCAGCAGGAGAAGAATGGAAAAAATGCAACATAGCCAGGAGCAGTTGAGGAAATCTCTTTTTATCATGACAAATTTACCTGTGCTAAGATATTGATTGTATCTGAATGGTTTACAATAATGAATTTCCCATAAGGAATGATGTTCTTCTAAGAAAATTGTGTTTCTGTGCTTATGTGAGTAAAATATATAGCTGGCAAAACACAAGGTAAAAATCTTTCAGGCAAGCATCACCTTTGTACCAGTATATAATAGAACCTCTCCTATGGAAAAGCTGATGACAAAGAAGATGAAGTGAATAAACAGTATAAATAATAGTATTCTATAAGAATACCAGAAAAAATAATAAATGCAATAATGACTAAAACCAGTGTTGTTTTAAAGACTCAAATCCTCCTTCAGTGCCTGGATCCCATCCTCACTTCCAGTTCTCCAAACTGAAGCAAAGCATGGCTTGACATTCCCTCTCATCAGCTCCTCCTGCTGCCAGTTAGCAAACTTAAGGATGATGTGGAAACATCTTGTTTTAACACTTTGATAACTGTTTTAAACATAGTGAGGTTTTAAAATGTATGGACAAGTGTGTCAGCAGACAAGTGGATAGAGAAACAGCACTACCTGCTGACAGGCGGGGACACCTTATCTGGAGGCACCCATCAATCTGGAAGACCTGACCAAGTGGGGAAGAGGAAGAACATGCCAGCAGTGGGCACCATGCCAAATCCACTTGCCAAGCTTACTGACTCCACAGGAAGCCACTCATATCTCCAAATACTGCGACCAAAAAAACCCCAAACAACCAAAAAACATTGCCCAGCATTAATCACATTCTCACAGGAATTATAAGTAAGGAATTTATAATCTATTCAACCATCCTGTGAAGTAATACACAGTGTTGGGCAGAAAGGCGATACACAAACAGGCCTTTCAGTTTATGGACCCATAACAGTCCAATCCAATCTGATGTGAGGTTCATGACTAGAAGGCTCTACTGAGCAAACACAAGCATCACTGGGACACACCTTTCTCCTCCCTGCTCTCATGGACAGAGAAACAACGCAGAGCCACAGGGAATGCTATATGCATACAGAGAGGCCCAGTGATGCACCAATGCAGCCAGTTCACAGTATTTTCATAGTTCAAATCACAGCTGCAGAATAAGCAGAGGAAGAAGAGAAAGATCTGTTCTTCACAGCACAAATGCCTATGACATCTACAACTTCTTCTTGGTGCTTTCTTCACAAACCTCTCAATAGTTAACAAGTAATTAACATGTGGACAAAGCTCTTTGTATCCTGGTGACAAAGGAAGCTGTTTACAACAGAATACCGATCATGAGGTCTGTGATCCTGTTCGGCA